AATCAGTTAAAAATCTAACATTTTTCAATTAATTAAGCGAAACTTGCCGAACAATGACACCTATATCAGAACTTTATCAACGTCTTTTCTTACCTCATTATATTGTCAATTTCTTTTATATTTTATCTTTTATTATTGTTCGATATGTTTCTTTTCGTCATCTATCTTCAACATATGAAATGTATATATATACCTTTACTTTATTAGTTATTATACTAAAATATCGGTCTTCTGGCAGTGCTGAAGAGTTCTTATCAATAACCTTTCTGTGTGGAAAATTGTTAAATGTAGCTACGTTTTTTTTGATTGGTAAAACAATGTGGTCAATGGTATACGTTATAATATGGATTTGTATGTATTTTTCTCATTTTGGCGTATTTTATTCTGCTACTCATCAAACTGTTTTAAAATATAATAATATAATTTAGTATTATTCGCTGCCTTACCTCAACCAACGTACCAAGGTCCTTCAGCAATAATAGAATTAACAATTGAAGATTTGTACGATATCAAAGTTAACAATTTTCAAGTCGCTAAAATTACTGAAATTACTGAAACAACTCGTGATAAGAAAGATAAAAGAAAAGAAAAAACAGATAATGATCAATATTGGGTAATTTTCTTTTACGTTCTATGGAGTAACGTATGTAGAAATTTCGAGTCTACTGTGGCAAAAACTTCTTTACAGTAGGTTGATTTTTTTGATTATTGTTGAAAATCCTTTTTAAAGTAATTAACCTTTAATTATCAAAAAAGATTTACAACTTCAAATGTTCGTTTTGGCAAAATCGACTTGGAGCAATATCCTGCACTAGCAGAAGAATATAATATTTCGTTATCACCGACTAGTTTGGATCTTCCTACGTTGATTTTGCTCAAGAATGGTAAAGAAATTTCGAGATTACCACAGAAAATCAGAGATGGAACCGACGAAGATTTGAATAAAATAAAGATTAAACCTCTTAGAGATGTAAAGGTCACATGGGATCGCTTAGCATGGGACAGGAGCATGGTAATACAATACAGTAATCATTTTATGCAGATTTTTTATATTTGAAGTGCTGATAATTTCTTAATAATTTTAGAAATCAATAATTACAGAATTTAAACTAGAAAGTTTACACAAGACAACTTAAGTATCAAATATGATTTTCAAACTTGATACTATATTTAAAATTACTGATAATAATTTTTATACAAGTAGAATTTTGGATCAGCAACTAATGTCCTGCTACATTA